ATAGAGTTACCCATTTTACGATGCACTGCTTTTCAACTTAATATTAATCAAAAATTAGCAGTCGATAAATTTGTGCGTGTTAGCTCTTCGGAGACAGTAACCATGACAGAAATAACGTCAATTCAACATATTGCCATAGTTCTCGGCATCGATAAAGAGTATGTTCCATGTGGCTGATGAACTTCTGAAGGTTGAGTGTAACTTTTATCAGATGGTTTGAATATGACATCGATTTGCAGAGGTTAGGATCGTGTATATATGAAGGGGAAGATGTGATTGTTATTGTTTGGCGTTTATCATCTCTACGAACCAATCTGATGTCATACTTACCGAAGTTATTAACGAGTCGACAGGTGGTATCATTACCTAACAATTGTTAATTATATTGTTCGTTTGTTCGTTGAATACATCAGTGAATTATTGGCGTGTTTGTAATGTTTTGTTTTATAGGATGAAATGAATGTGGTGGAAGGTGCATTAGACGTTCACGTCACGAAGGATGGACGTATTTATAAAATTATCAATAGAAAGGTTCAGTTTTATCATTATTCTAGGGAAGCGTTTCTTATTTTATTGTTTACTTTTTAGAAACTGCTATTTGAAAATTTCTCATTCTCGGAACGTTTTAGTGTGTGGAAATTTGAACAAAATTCTAATAGAACTTCATACTGATAATTTGCACCAGCATGAATCCAAAGCGCTCTTGTGAAATTTTGAAAGATCGATTGTCTAAAAATTGTGATTGAAAGACATTTCCATTGTGTACCATTTCAGCATATTCATGTATTTTAAGGTTCTGCTTGAAATCTCAATGTTAATTGTTTGTTTATCTGATGAATGACCAGTTTTCAGATCACAGCATCTGATTTGGAGGGTGCAAAGGTAATGGCTGAGATCAAGAAAGAGGCGAACGAGAAAAGATTGAGAGCTGAAAAACAGAAATGGGCCAATCAATTAGGCAGTTTAACGGATGATAGAGCAAACCATTGACACTCGTTATATATTGTATTCACTTGTTATAATATGTTGTTATATTTGAGGTAGTTTTGTAAATAAACTTTTGAGATAGGTTTATTTTTATTGTTTCAATGTAAACATTTGAATGCGACAACGGCACTCCGTTCGTTCTTCATATCTTAGAGCTAACATCGTTACAAATTCATTAGCATCGTCAAACTAAATTTTATATTCGTGTGAACTTCAAAATTTTAATATTGCTATTCAACTGGCGTTTTGAATGATAACGAATGTTGTTAATAACTATCAGTGGAAGGGTCAACGAAAAATATTCGGAAAGAAGGCTGCATGAATGAAAATATTATTTGTGCGTTGTTTCACTCCAAACAAATGTTTAATCGCTATGGATATGAAGTAATTTTGAGAAAGAATTGAAATAGTTAAGGGGAATCCTAAATCTATAGAATGTCCTTGTGGATGATTTATAAGAATAAATGACGATTTCAGTAGGAGTATGATAACGTGTCAAATGCGAAATTTATCACTAACAATACCCGGTCCTTCGTCATCGTCGATTGCGTTTGCGTTATGTCGATCGCTGTCCTCCACACAAACTGATAACTCGAATGAGAGACCGCAGATGTTCCAACTGGATCATGTTCGTTCGAGACTTGAATTTACGGTCCGTTTGCCTAAATCTGTTTCGTTCATTTCAGTAAATTAGCGTCAGCAAATTGAAAGGCTGGAACGGTGAACAGTATTTAACGTGATATTTTTCACCGAAAAATTGTGAAGGAGACTTGAGGGAGTTAGTAGGAAAGAAAAAGCTCGAAATCATCCTTTCTTTCATTATTTCTCCCTCAAAATCATGAATTATTTTTGAATGAAATGTGATTCATCCGAGAGTGAGCACGAATATTATTAGTTTTATAAATTGT